CTGCAAACAGCTCGGCCGGACTAAAGGCCATTTTGGAAGTTCACCGAAAATATGCTAATATGGTACTTAAAACGTCCGGGACGTCGCGAGGATCGCGGAACTGGTCTCTGTCCTCGGAATTTTTTTTTGGAGGTCCGAACTCTCGGAGAACGCCTCGGAGCGGAATTTTGTCAAAAAGCCACCGGCCACGCGCGGCTCCCGCCGGCCTCCGGCGACCCTGCCACCATCATGAGCTCCGGCATGCGCCGAAATGTCCCATTTTTTTCTAATAAATAGTGGCCGCCCTCCGTTTTCGTTTCCACTCAGTCTGTGTTTGACGACCGCTCTTCTCCCTAACACTCTTTTGCCGATCTTTACTGCTTTCTTGCATTTTTTTTTTTTAGTTTGATTTTATTTGTTGTGATACTTGGTCACCTTTAAAAATTAAATAAAATTAATTCCCTTAAGCGAGGAGCTTTAACCTGGAGTTAAGAAGCGTCGACGATAAATCGGTACGTAAGGTTAAACTTTTGCCTATTTTAATTAGCACTTCATGATGGCTTTCTTTTCTACTCCTAATAATTCTAGACAACTGCATAAATGCCATCATACCATCATATAAGGCAAGTAATTGCCTCATTTAAAATATGATTAAGCAAATGCCCGGTAATTTAATTAATCGTGTATTAAAGTTTAAATCCGACAATATTGGCTTAAAATATCTAGTCTTTCAATGGCTATTGGTATATTGCCTTTATTTCGAACAATTTTCGGCTTAAGTCCAATTAATCACATAATTTGTGCATCCAAAAGGCTTAATTAACTCACGTTCTTTGGCAACAACTTGCCTAAAATCAACACATTTTGGCTAAAAGCCTTTAAATAACCAAATTTTTGCAAGACAATTGCTTAAAATTCAAAACGTTTTGCAAAAGTCTTAAAACTAATTCAATTTTTTAGGTTTTAAAAACCGTAAAAATCAATCATTTTGGCGACAAATTCGCCTAAATCGACCCTTTTGGCAATTTATGCCTAAATCAAAAAATTCAGATTTTGGCTAAAAGCCTTAATTCATTATTGCCAAGCAAATAAGTCCACTCAACACAATTTTTTGGCTAAAAGCGCATTAAATCAACATTTTGCATCAAGATGCTCAAAAATCAATCAATTCTTTGGCAAAATTGCTAAACAAAAATGCACAAAGCAATACACACACTCATGCATCAAACGCATCCCTCAAGCCTCTAAAAGAGGCTATCGAACTACTTGGACTTGATCTTCCCATTCAAAAGGAAGTACGGTAGGCACGTCGGGATTTCACCCGGGGCAAGTCGAAATCCAGCTTTAGAACATGAAACATTCACCATGCAATAGCATCAAGCCATGTCTTCATTGGGTTAGTTTTAATCAGCATAGACATATCTCGGGATCATCTCGGGTTTTGCACACCATGGCCTTAATCATTGGTTTAATTATGCTAGTAACTAGGTTAATTAAATTGGAGTCACTTAGGATTTTCCTATTTACCCGAAATAATTAAACAAGGTGCGACTCACGACATCACCGTGCATTTCCTTCTTAGTCACTATGCAGTTTCGTATGCATTGATCATCTTGGGGAGGGTTCACAATCAGGAAAAGATAGAGATCCATTCTTTACCTCGGGCCTTGGAATAGCACCCTGCCTCCTTTGGGGATATCCTTCACACAGATAAGAGTTAGGAAAGAATTCAATAGACGCATTAATTTTGTGAATGTAATTGTGAAGTAAAAGCAGAAACAGATAGTAAGTTAGTAGTGACATGTGGTGAATAAAGAACATCATTGAAAACAAAAGAACGACCATTAACATGAGAAATAGTGGAACCACGAGAAAGAATCGAAAGATTTTTACCATCTGCAATTGTTAGCGCAGTAGAATCATGCACAGGCATTGGCTGAGCAATGTTCTCCTGATTAGCAACTAGATGATAATTGGCACCAGAATCCACTGTCCAGTTTGGGTTTGGTTCAGGTTCAGCTTTGGCAACATTAGCTTGAGGTGAGGTTCGAGGTGAGGGGCACTACCTTGCAAGATGGCCATTGCCATGACAATTAAAACGTACAAGACCACCGTTTGAATTTTGACCAGAAGATTGACCATATGCACTTTGGCCAGAATAAGAATTTCCATAAGATTGACTATAGGAGTGACCATATGGACTTCGGCCAGAATAAGAATTTCCATAGGATTGACCATAACCACATCCTTGCCCACCACGACCACCATGACTATTTCGACCTCCATGTCCAGAATTACCTCGTCCACCATGGTGTGTATTGCTATAATGAGCAGTCGGCGAAACGGTAGAAGTAATTTGGATGGAATCAAACTTGAGTTGAATTTCTTCACTTAAAAGAAGAGCATATAATTCATCAAAGCTAACTGGAGAATTGCGTGCTTCTATAGCTCATTTAAAAGGACGATATTCAGAACCAAGTCCCTCAAGTACATCACAAACTAAAGCCTCTTCAGGAACGGAAGTGTCTAACGCACCAAGCTAATCATTCAAAGAACGAGCTTTACGCATATAATCATCAATACCGTCATTCCCACGTGACAGATGTTTCAATTGCTTTCGAAGTTGCTGAACTTGTGACCTAGCACCAGTAGAATAAATCACAACCAACTTGTCCCATGCATCTTTGGCTGTTTTGCATCGTACAATTTGATGCATAATTGACTCCAAAACAGAGCAGTTAATCCAACTCCGAACAATTTGATCTTGAGCAAACCAATCAAGGAATGCTGGATGAGAATCACCATTGGGCAAATGCTGAGATGAGAATCACCATTGGGCAAATGCTGAGGCGGAGCAACGATAGAACCGTCAATATATCCAGACAAGCGATAACCATGGAGCAAAGGCAGAATCTGAGCCTCCCACAGCAAACAATTGGCTGAGGTAAGCTTGATTGATAGAAACTGTGTAACATTTGGTATTTGAATAGAAGGAAAGGGGGAAGAAGAAGAACTTGATGCAGTAGTAGAAATTAAAGACTGTTCCGTGGCCATTTGTGTTCGTGAAATACCATTTGTGTTCGTGAAATACAGAAGATCACGAGAAAAACGAAAGGAAGAAAAGAGACCATATGCCGTAGGGCTCTTGGCTCTGATACCATAAAGCTATTTAATATCTTTTGGAATTCAACTTGTATTATTTCTGTGTTTTAGTACTGTATTTATTTACAAGAGTTTGTAGTTATACAAACTTATCTTAAGATACGGTTAGTTACAGCAATATGAAATATACAGCTGGTATCCTTATCACAAACCATTCGACTTGGCAGTCAGGGACGAAGCTATCCTTTAGAGGAGAGGGGCATTGTCTCCCCCCCCCCCCCCCCCCCCCCCCCCCTTCTATTTTGGGGAAAAAAAAAGTTTTCCTTTGTAATAATATTAAGGTTAAACTTGGCCGAAGGCATTTTTAAGAACTTTAACCATTTTGCCCCCTCCTTTCAATATTTTGGGCATAATATTCTTCTAATGATATTTTATACTAAATTTCCCCGCCCCTCCTTTATAATCCTAGTCCCCCCCCCCCTTCTATTTTGGAAAAAAAAAGTTTTCCTTTAATAATATTAAGGTTAAAACCTTGGCCGAAGGCAATTTTTAAGACACTTTAACCATTTTGCCCTCCTTCATTTTTGCATAATATTCTCTTAATATATTCTTATACTAATTTCCCCCCCCCCCTCCTTTATAAATCCTAGTTTCGTCCCTGCCGGAAGCTTTATCAAGATGTATTTGGAATACTGCATCCTTGAATTCTTCGTTTGAAAAAGGAGTAGCCAAAAAATTATTTTCCTCTAAAGAAACTAAACTTCTAACTAAACCCAAAAATTTGAACCTTCATTTTGAAACATATAGGAAAAATAATGACTCACCAAATTGTGAAATCCCAATTATTGAAAATTCAAGTCCCATCCTCCCCTTTTTAACTACTCAGATTTCATTTCTCATCTTTTTTTTTTCTTTTATGCGAGATGAAAGATTTGGAGTTTTTATCTCTGAATTTCATCCAATATAATTTCACCTACTGCCTTATGCAAGCTTCCTCTTGGATAAGAAGCATACCATTCATTCTTTATAGATTGTAAAACAAAATCCTACGAGAAAGTTCTATTCATATCGATTAAAGTTGCAAATACCTTTTCTTTTTTTGGCCAAAAAAATTTTATTTCTATATGAGCCCAACAATTTCAAATCATGAACTGACGATTGCTTTTTAGATATCAAGTTTGAACCAACCTCTTGACTCTCGGCAACTCACTCTCCTCCTTTTCCGTTATAGACCACTAAACAAAAATCGTCCTTCATAGGAATGAAGAAACTCACAAAAGTGTACAAGAAAGGAAGAGGAAAAAAAAAAATACTACAAGAGCACATTAGAGACTAAGAATAACTCATAAAATAGAAAAAAAAAATCATGATAGCACAACTAACATACACATTCTTATGCACACTAATGCATAATTTAGTGGTAAGAGCATATATGGCTAGTAATAGATTCATGTTCGAATCTGCTCTTCTAGTATTAAAAAAAAAAAAACATACTCATTTCTACAAATTAAAATTTATGTTTTTATCTTTATGCTAAAAAGGATAACATATTTTTATATTCTATATATTTTTTAAGTTAAAAATTATCGTTATCTTTGTTTAGAGATATTATTTAGGTGTATGATTATGAGTTTTTTCATCTTTAAAATATTTATATTATAAATAGAAACTAAATTGAAGAGCCCGATAGATTTTAAAATAAGCAAAGTCAAAGTAAAATTTATTAATTTTATTTAATGGATTATAATTGTTTTTTTCAACCAAAAGAATTGAATTTACTTAATTTAGTAAATCTACGGAATGTCGAAATTACATGCTCAAATTTGATTCAAACTACTTCCAAATGTTGGAAATTAAAACCGTTGAGTTTGGTTTCAAGTTAAGGGAAACGAGTTGCTCACCCCTACGTGTGCACATGCGATAGCCCAGCAGGACTGAATTGGTCATTTCACAAGTCCCCCATAAACAACCATTTTTATCTTCTCCACTCTCCAAAACCCTACTGTGAGGTCGCAGTTACTCAGGTCCGTCGATTTTAGATCATTAAGCTTCGGTTTGTTCCTCAATCCATTTATTGGGAGCTACTCTCTATGTTATCACAGTAAGATTAAATCACCTAACCCTTTTCCTTTAAATGATCTACTCCTTGTTTGAAATAAACTGAAGTTTGCATAGATCTAAGCAGATCATAAGAAATTTCTTTTCCCCTTTGTAATATATCTTATTAATACCTGATTTAATTTTCGAGCCTGCTTGTTTTTGCTTATTTCATAATCCTTTTACTGATTATTATGGTGTGTAATGTGTATTTATATGCTGATTCGTATGTAGTAATAATTTTGCAAAATTTGTTTCTAGTTTTGTTTGATAGTTAGCTTTGATTTTGGCCCTTACCAGGTAATTGTGCTTCCACGAAGAGGTATAATCAAGGGCTCCTGCTAAACCCTATGTTTGCTTCTACTGCATTGTTTTTCTTCTTCATTTTTGTTAATTTTCTGTTCTGTATCTTTTTACTATCTTGTCTATATATTTGCTTGGAGATAGGGCTCCTTTTAATATGAATAGAAAAAAAAAAATTCAGACAATTTTAGTTTAGATTATTTGAATGAAAATATAGCCAATTTTAGCCAATTTTTACATTAACTAAGTTCATTAATGAAGAATGGAGTTGTAAGGCTTATTTGAGTTAGATATGAAGTAAGATTATCCATTGGTATTTCCACCCACTTATTGTCCTTTTTACAGTTTCAGTGACACAAAAGGTTGGTGTTTTGCATGATGAGGCGTGAATCCCAGAATTGTATCTACAGGTGCCTGTTATTTAACCATTATGGAAGGTTTGATTATGATGGCCAAAGCTGGTGAGGAGTCATTTGTTATGGAAGGTTCAGTTGTAGAGACTAAAGCTGTTGAGGAGTCTTCAACTGTGGAAGGTTTAACTGCAGAGACCAAAGCTGTTGAAGAGTCTTCAACTGTTATTGAAGGTTCAATTGTAGAGACCAAAGCTGTTGATGAGTCTTCATCTGTTATGGAAGTTTCAGTTGCAGAGAAAAAAGCTATTGAGGAGTCCTCAATTATGGAAGGTTCAACTGCAGAGACCAAAGCTGTTGAAGAGTCTTCAACTGTTATGGAAGGTTCAATTGTAGAGACCAAAGCTGTTGGTGAAGAAGATGCTATGATGGCGAATGATGAGAATTTAAATCCCAAAGTTGAAGTAGATTTGGAGGGGACACGTGGTGATGATGCTGTGGAGGGTGTTATATCCAGTTCTGAAAAAGGTTCAGTTTCGACGGCAAAAGATCTCACTACTACTGCAATCTTGAAACCTTTGGATGAACAAACTCGAGTTGCTGTTGATGGCAAAGTTGCATCAGGGAACCACAAAGAGATTGAACATCCTAACATGGAAGGTAAGGCTGTTGAGGAGTCTTTAGCTGTTATGGAAGATTCAATTGTGGAGGCCAAAGTTATTGATGAGGAAGCAGCTGTGACAGTGAATGATGAAAATTTGAATCCGAAAGTTGAAGCAGCTTTGGAGGAGACTTGTGGTGCTGATGCTGTGGAAGGTGTTATATTCAGTTCTGAAAATGATTCAGTTTCAACAGCAAAAGATCCCATTACGACTGCAACCTCTAAATCTTTGGATGAACAAACTCAAGTTGCAGTTGATGGGAAAGTTGTATCAATGCACAACAAAGAGGTTAAATGTCCTAACATTGAAGTTAAATCTGTTGAGGAGTCTTCAACAATTATGGAAGGTTCAATTGTGGAGGACGAACTTGTTGGTGAGGAAGCAGCTGCGATGGTGAATGATGAAATTTTAAATCCCAAAGTTGAAGCAGCTTTGGAGGGTCCATGTGGTGCTGATGCTGTGGAGGGTGTTACATCCAGTTCTGAAAATGATTTAGTTTCAGCAGCAAAAGATCCCATTGCTATTGCAACCTCCAAATCTTTGGATGAACAAACTCGGGTTGTTGTTGATGAGAAACTTATATCATTGGAGAACATAGAGATTACACATCCTCACAGGGAAGGTAAAGCTGTTGACGGGTATTCAATTGTTATGGAAGATTCTAATATGGAGGCCAAAGATGTTGGTGAGGAAGCAGCTGCAATTGTGGAGGATGAAAGTTATCCCAAAATTGAAGCAGCTTTGGAGGGGACACATGGTGTTGATGCTGTGGAGGGCGTTATATCTAGTTCTGAAAATGATTCAGTTTCAACAGCAAAAGATCCCATTACCACTGCAAGCTCCAAATCTTTGGATGAACAGAATCAAGTTGCAGTTGATGGGAAAGTTGTATCAATCGACAAAAAAGAGGTTACATGTCCTAATGTTGAAGCTAAAGCTGTCAATGAGTCTTCAACTGTTATGGAAGGTTCAATTTTAGAGACTAAAGCCGTTGAGGAGTCTTCAACTGTTAGGGAAGATTCAATAATAGCTAACAAAGTTGTAGGTGAGAGAACTGTCATGATATTGACCGATGAAAATTTAAATCCCGAAGTTGAAGCAGCTTTGGAGGGGACACATGGTGCTGATGCTGTGGAGGGTGTTATATCCAGTTCTAAAAAAGGTTCAGTTTCAACAGCAAAAGATCCCATTACTACTGCAACCTCCAAATCTTTGGATGAACAAACTCAAGTTGCTGTTGATGGGAAAGTTGTGTCAATGGACAACGAGGAGATTAAATGTCCTAACATTGAAGGTATGGACACTGATGCTTTTAATGAAAATTTTTGTTTTTCAGTGGAAGAACTGCAGGCAACGTTTGAGACAGCCAATGGAAGCACTGAAAATGACTATGATGCATTTGCAGATATGCAATCTTTGCAACAGCCAACTCAAGTTGTTGTTGAGGGTGAAGTTGCAGCAACTGATAACATGGTGCTTCTGAATTCCAAAGAAGACAGAAAATTATTAATTGAAGAGTGCTCAGACCAGAGCAATACCCATGGTTCTGCTAAAGTGGACTCAAATGTAGAACCAGAGATAGGAGTTGACAAACAAGCTGGAATACAGGAAAAGCAAGGTGAAGTTGAGACCAGTAATGAGAGCAGTGAAAACCATAGCGCCATAGGTTTAAATTCAACAACTTTATGTCGTTCTGCTCAAGCTGAAGTTACAGAAATGGATGATAAGGTCCATACTGATCCTAATTCTGAGGGTCCTGTTGGCGGACGTCTGCATGGGGTATTAACTTCCTCGGGAAATTATCAGCATATAAAAGCTGAGGGAGATCTTATGGAAACAGATACTGGAATGACTTTGACGGACAAGGATAAGGTTTTAGTTTCGGCTGCTGTTGTGTCAGAGCCCTCTGAAAAAGACCAAGGGTTGAAGCTGAAAGAAAGCTTAGACAATAATGTAAGTGATACTGCTAAGGTTGATTCAAACATAGGGCAGCTGATGGATGCTCAAGAACAGGTTGCTCATGTTGATCAACTTGGAGAGGAAGATAAAAAGGCAGGACAGAACTCTGAGGCTGAAGCTGTTTTCATAAGAACAGAAATAAAGTGTCCAGTAACCAATGGAGGGCAAACTGTTAATAGTGTTGTGACTTTGAATCCCAAGACTGGACTAGAGGGTCCTGCTGAAGGGGACCAGTATATGAGGGCTGAAGAAAGCTTGGATGAGAGTGCAAGTCGTGATCTTTTTGAGACTGAATCAAATGTGGGAAAAGAAACAGCAGTGGATGAACATGAACAGATTGGCTTGAAAGAAGGGCAAGAAATGGAAGCTGAAGAACTGGATACAGACTCTGAACAGCCAAGGTTTACTGAAAACACAGTAAAACTACACCAAGCTAGTTATCAGCTACCACCAGATGATGAAGGTGAATTCATTGTATCTGATCTGGTATGGGGTAAAGTGAGGAGTCATCCATGGTGGCCTGGACAAATATTTGACCCTTCAGATGCTTCTGAGAAAGCAATGAAATACCATAAGAAGGACTGCTTTTTAGTGGCATATTTTGGGGATCGAACATTTGCATGGAATGAGGCATCTCTCCTAAAGTCTTTCAGATCAAATTTCTCCCAGGTTGAGAAGCAGAGTAATTTGGAATCATTCCAAAATGCTGTTAATTGTGCCTTGGAAGAAGTTTCCAGACGTGTGGAGTTTGGACTTGCTTGCTCATGCATACCAAAAGACACTTATGATAAGATAAAACTTCAGATGGTAGAAAATGCTGGAATCCGAGAGGAATCAAGTAAAAGATATGGTGTGGACAAATCCTTTCATGCTAATTTATTTGAACCTGGTAAATTATTGGAGTATATGAAAGCATTAGCACAATCTCCAGCTGGTGGGGCTGATAAACTGGAGCTTGTCATTACTAAGTCACAGTTGCTGGCCTTTTATCGTTTAAAGGGTTATTCCCAGCTGTCTGAATTCCAATTTTGTGGAGGGTTGTTGGAGAATGCTGACAGTTTACACTTTGCAGATGAAGTTGTACATGCATCTCCTGTTTGTGGGGATGATGGGCAAATTTCATCTAGTCAGGAGGTTTTACAAACTCAAAGAAGCTCATACAACAAACGTAAACATAATTTGAAGGATACTATCCTTCCTAGGAAGAAAGAAAGAAGCATGTCTGAATTAATGGATGAATCATGGGATTCTATAGATGATGAACTCGGTTCCGATGAGAAAGCTAACAATAAATTAGTTTCACCATCTGGAAAGAAGCGAAAAGGTTCTGATTCCTTTGCTGATGACTCGGCTATGGAAGGCAGGAAAACCATCTCTCTTGCGAAAGTCTCAACTACTGCACCTCCTGTACCTAAGCCCTCCTTCAAGATTGGTGAATGCATCCGTAGAGTTGCTAGCCAGATGACTGGGTCTCCGTCTATACTGAAGGCTAATAGCCAAAAGCAGGAAGGAAGCAGCGATGGACTTGTTGGGGATGGATCTGATGTTTCTTTCCAGAATAATGAGGATGCTGAGATGAGGAGAATGACTGTTCCGACAGAATACTCATCTCTTGATGAATTGTTATCACAACTTACCACAGCAGCACGAGATCCCTTGACAAGATGTAGCTCTTCAACCATCATTGTCAGTTTTTTCTCTGATTTCAGGAACTCAGTGATCATGGAACAGCATGATAAAGTAGGTGGTAAAAGGAGACATTCAGTTGGTGCTTCTCCTGAAACATTCGAATTTGAGGATATGGGTGACACTTATTGGACAGACCGGGTTATTCAAAATGGTTCTGAAGAACAACCATCACGTAAAAGTAGAAAACGGGATAATCTGTTTGTGCCTGTGGAGCTGGATAAGCCTGCTAATAAGTCAAATTCTAGGAAGCGGTATTCAGATGTCAATTGTGGTCAAGCGGCAGAGAAACCAGCTGGTTCTGTTGATGAGAAGGCACCAGCAGAACTTGTAATGCATTTTCCTGTGGTGGATTCTGTTCCTTCAGAAATAAGCCTCAATAAGATGTTCAGGCGCTTTGGGCCGCTAAAAGAATCAGAGACAGAAGTAGATAAGGATACCAACCGTGCAAGAGTTGTTTTCAAGAGGTGTTCTGATGCAGAAGCTGCTTATGGTAGTGCTCCAAAATTTAACATTTTTGGTTCGATGCTTGTAAATTACCAGCTCAACTATACTATATCTGTGCCATTTAAAAGTGAACCAGTGGTCACACTGCAAGAGGAAGATGCTACACTTTTCCTGCAGTATTGAACAGGCAGATATAATTTAAAAGTTAAGGTAAAATATTTTTACTTGGACAAAAATTTCCAATGGTACTTTATTTTTTCCTCGTGATTGTGCCCACTGCGGATTCTGGGCAATAGTATAAGGTTGTCCCAGTGTATAAGGTCTCTTGCATTGCAGGCTGAGCGCCAAATGATGGCAAAAGTGTAACTTAATTTTTTTTCATAATTATGTTGTGCCCTTTGAAGTTTGCTAGTAGAATTTTGTAAAATTGGCCAAGGGGGAAGTCTGCAAAACCCAGAGGTTCTGTTTTAAAAAAATGGACTGATAGAATGCATTCTGGCTATTTTGGGATAGCATGTGTTAGATGATGTGTATTATGTGGTTTTCTTTTCTAGACATACATCGAATAAGGTGGGAAAAACCTATCATTTACTCAGAACTCTGCGCCTGAGGTTGTAACTTTGATTAATTATTGAAACATATGCATCACCTTTATAGATCGAATTCACTTGTCTTTTTGAGCTGTTAAAGCTGGTTAAAGCCCTTAGAAGTGGTCATATGACAGAATTTGAAGATGGTTCCTACATAGTAGAATTTTTGTATGAAATGGTTGCTGCCTAAAACTTGAAAATGCCTGATGATGCCCATTAATATTCTTTGTAAAATTCAGAAACTGAACCATGAAACTGTCTTCTTTTTGTGTGGGGACTCGGTGATTTCTGATTTCTTTTGCTTCTCCATCTACTTGATATACTAGGTACATACTAATTTCAATTTTCATGATTTGAGAGTTGCAGATGTTTAAGAATTGAGGCAGATGCAGTGCAACTGATAATGATGCTTTACGGGAGCTTAACTTGATGGGCTGCTGAAGGTGAATAGGCATCTAATTCTTTTGGTTACATGCTGTATCTTTCTTTTTAGCATCTTTGGTTCCAGATGCTGAGGGTTGTGGCTGTTGTAAAATCACAATAGGTTTGCTTAGTGCACTGTATAGTAGTGTTAGCTGACCCCTTGTAGTTGATATCCTTGATGAGTAAGAGGTTGAACCATGGAATTTGGTAATCATTATGGTTCATCGATCCACATGTGATATAATGAATTTATGTGTATTAAAACAGAGATAAGAGTGCTTTTGTGCATATGCTGAAAGCATCAGCAGTTTAGCCTTGGCATTATTGAATTTGAAGCATGCTCATTCGAAAAATACTTTTGCTTCAGCCTAGTGTTCATGTGCTTTTGCTTCAGCCTAGTGTTCATGTGCTTTTGCTTCATGTTTCTCAGGTGTGCCTTACAACCGATCTTTCTTGTCACTCCATTGTTAGACTTTATCATTTTCAAAGTGTTAACACTTTGCTAAAAATGTTTGAAAGGAATCAGAAGAGTAAAACTGTTATTGAGATTTTGCATGCTTAAGAACTTGTGCATCATTCTTTTGGTTCTCCATCTCTTCATCTTATGCTTAAATATTTTTTGTTGGTTTGGATAGTGTTGAAATACGCATCCTTCATATTTGGAGCGATGTTTTTGGATATTGGATTTATCAAATCATTTATGTTTGCATATGTTGTATTTGTTTTTTTATAAAATTTGAATATACTTTCTACTTCCAATGTCAAAGCACATAGAATGTTTGGACTTTGAGTGATGGTTAAAATGATGTTATGTGGAAGATAGATGTTCCGCTCTATTCATGTATTTTTCAGCTATAGAAGCAATGCATCTATTCATCCATTTTCATAATAGTCTGTTCAGCAAGAATGTCAGTTGAATGAGTTTTTTTTTTTTTTTTTTTCACTGTTAAAATAAATGGCAGGTGTTACTGTTAATATGTGTTGAAATAAATAGTTCAAAGTGATTGGTCTAACCATTTATGCATTGTTGGATATTGAGACTGTTAACCTACTTCCTGTGGTACACAAACTCTTTATTCTTTATTTATTTATTTATTTATTTATTTTGAGTATTGGAGAAGGTAGATTTTAACTTGGATCTGGTTATATCTTGTTGTGGTATTCTTTATTTTTTGTTTTACGTGTATTGCTTTTATTTAAGGTTTGGCAATTGTAAATTCTTAATTTTTGCATATTATATTATTGTTTACGTAACATTGTCCTTTGTTTTGAGTTTCCTGAGGCTTTCACTATTGAATTTTTTTTTTTTAAAATTTCATTTAGACATTATTTTGTTCTGTATTATTGAACTCTTTTTTTGTCACATAAATTTGTTAACTGGATAATGATATATTTAGTGCCTGAATTTTCTTTCCTCAAAAAAAAAAAAAAAAAAAAAATTGAATTTTTTTTTTTTTAAAATTTCACTTTAGACTTATTTTGTTCTGTATTATTGAACTTCTTTTTTTGTCACATTAATTTGTTAACTGGATAATGATATATTTAGTGCCTGAATTTTCTTTCCTCAAAAAAAAAAAAAAAAAAAAAATCAAAAAAAAAAAAAAAAAAAAAAATCTGAAATTTCCAGCTTTTGCTGTTTTGTTTATCGAAAACATTTATAATTAAGTGTTTTTAACTTTAAAAAATGCAATTAAGTGTCTGTTTGCTGAAAAATGCAATCAAGCTGAATAGGATATGGGAAATCTGACTTACTGAAAATGGACCCTACATTTGTCCACCTGCAAATATGGACTGCCACGAATGTGCTGACATGGGAAAAAAATTAAATGAAGTGTCAATCACAAGGAAAAGGCATAATTGCCCTTAATTTAATGAGACAGACCAAACTTCTTCGTCTTCTTCAGAGACGGGTTCACCAAAAGCTAATAACGACGAACTCCATCTCAATGAACAAACAAAATAATTACAGGCGGTGGAACCAAGCACCAACTAGACCCAGAATCTTAGAAATAACAGCCGACTGAGACTTTGTATAAATTAGTTCGACTTTTTTTGAATTAGTTATACGAAATAACTATCAGCTAAATGAATTAGTTAAACCAAATAGACTCTAAATATTAAAGGATATTTAATGACAATAGCATTTTTGACGAAAAAAAAACTAAATAGTTTAATATGGTTAAATATTATGCGGGAATTAATTAATAATTAATGGTTAATAGTTATAATTTTGATGAAAACTCAAGAATTAACTAATTAATTAGGGCCAAATGCATAATTTTCTCTCTAAACTTTCATCAAATAATCATTTGTGTCCCTTAACTTTGCGAAAGACTTTTAACTTTTATTTTTTATAGTTATTTTACCCCTTAATGAAGTGTGAAATACAAAGAGAGCGTGAACAGTAATTTTTAATCTTAAGTGTAAGAAACAACGTCGAATTAAACTTCAGTTGCTTAAATGGAGCGCCTCAATCAAACAAATCTATCATCATCTCAAGCTTGTTCTTTCTCTACTATTTCAATTCTCCCACCAACATATATTAGGGTTCTTGTAATTAGATGGAATTCACATGAGAGTTCCTAATTTTGAGTTGCAATTGCGTCAGGTAGCTGTAATTAAGTTCTCTTGCACTAATGCAAATCTAGGGAGGAGGTTTTTTGGTTGTAGGGGATATAGGGTAAGTAATCTTTGATTTTGATCTTCTTTTTTTTTTTTTTTTTTTTTTTTTTTTTTTTTTTTTTTTTTTTTTTTTTTTTTTTTTTTTTTAATAATGGAGTTTACGGACTCCTCACTGAAATCAGCTATGTGTTTGTTTATTCAGATATGGAAGGGGGTAACTACATTTGCTTGCAAGTCAATCTTTTTTTTTTTTTTTTTTTTTTTTTTTTTTTTTTTTTTTTTAATAATGGAGGTTTACGGACTCATGAAATCAGTGTGTTTGTTTCAGATATGAGGTAACTACATTTGCTTGCAAAAGTCAATCTCAAAAGACCAAAAATTTCCAACAGTACCTACTTTCAAAATACCAAAATATCAAAAAACCTCATTTCACACGTCATTCCTTTTCCTATAACGACAAACTCTACCAAATAACCATAAAAAACAAAACTATAATACCCGGTAGTTTTTCTCTCTCTGTTATTTCTTAGACACGTGGAATCCAACATGGCGTATCAATAGATTACATTTTAATTATTTATGATACGTCAACGCGATTATAATTCACGTACGAGCTTAAAATTGGCAATGTGTAAAATAGTTATAAAAAATAAAAGTTAAGATGGACAAGAGGTCTTTCACAAAGTAAAAGGGTACAAAATGTTATTTAGTAGAAGTTCAAAGAGGAAATTATGCATTGGCCAATTAATTAACTTAATCTTAGACTTATTATCACCCGTTGTGCCTGAATGATAGTTTTTAATTGTCCATATACCCTAATTTGTATTCTATTGGAGTGATACAAGTTTTTTTTACCAATTGGCCGATGAAGTACTGGCCATTTAGTGATGTGGAATTATTTTTTTAGCAAATCATTAAAAAAATGGCTGCATCAGCTTTTTATTTGCTTTCCTCTACTATCTTAAATCCCAAAAACCATGATTGTAAGAACACTTTTTTCGATTATCTAAACAAAAAATCTACAAAATTAAAATTAAAATTAAAATCAAAAGAGAAGTATTAAAACTTCTTGTAAATAAGATTCTGAGGAGTGCACCAAATGCAACTTCCATCAATTGAAGGACTAGAGGTGGAACCTTCCAACATCAACAAAACAGAATACAATCTTGTTTCTGTAAGACCACCATGCTCCATTTTTGTAAGCATTTTCTCTTCATTTTGTGCTTGATGAGCTAATTTAGGTTTCCCATATCCAAATCTGGCAATGTACTCCTTCATAAATTCTCTAAAATCATTATTGTAACCAAGCATAATATGAGGCAAAAAAACTAGCAACGAACTTGTTAAGATACTTTTTCGATTTTCGATTTAATTTTTTAATTTTTTTTTAAAATTTTTCTTGAATATTGGTGAGAGTTTTACCTGTGAGTTTCAAAGTTAAAATGGACAAATTACTTCGAGTACAACACCAAATGCTACTTCGATGACTACAAGACCACGTAAAGGACCGTGGTCTCGAACATAATGGAGAGGAACTGGAGTTATGAACTCATGGTGCATGAGAGGAATTAAATGTGCTTCACTGTTGAAAGGATATTTTCCTACGAGTCGGATCATCGACAGTTCACGCTTAACCTAGTTGTCAGCCATTCCTTCAACTAGTTGATCGAAAATCGGCGACTAATTTAATGTAGCTTTTGTGAATGGGCGAAGAATGACCTTTAAGGCAGGTTCGATGTGGAACAAGCGATTTAGATGGAAGGAAAAAAAAAGGCTAGGTGTCCTGAACATCAAGCATTAGCTGTTGGTTGGTGGGGATAACCATACGACGACAGAAAGGGGATGGAGATCATGGGATCGCGTGAAGGAAAAGTGGAAATGAATTTTTATTTGATCTAATTTAAGAAGGGAATAGAAGAGTAATTTTAAAAACCATCATAAATTAAAACGTCTCGTTTGGTTCATTTCAATTTATTTTTCGGCAAGTCTAATATAATTGTGTTTGGTTAATATACTGAATTCTCGAAAAGTAAAATTGTATTAGTTAAATAGGACGTTAGAAATGCAAGAATACCCTTATAATATTTATAAAATAATAATTAAAAATATTTCATTGAAAAATAATAATTTACAATAATTTAATAAAACACCTACCATAAAATCTACAATTCAACTCACCTTATAATTTTTTTTTATCACATAATAATAATTAAAATTATATTATCATAATTTTAGCAACCAAAATAATACAACTTTAGCCATATATATAACCATTTTTGCACCCAAAATATACATATATAACTTCAGATACATAAAAACTATTGCTTAGTTGCTACTATATCATTTGCCTTTATATTATATAAACAAGTCTTAGCATTAACAATCATAACAAAAAATAGTCCTAGTAAATTATAGATTTTCAAGGAGTTATAAACTAAGTACATAAGTCTTGTTAAAATCCTCTGACAAACTAAAAAAAGTAATCAATCTACATGGTATCAAGTGCAATCTTTCTTCCTACCTTAATAATATCCTGTTGAGATAAGCCTTCGATATTCATTTACTCAGCATTAACAATCATTCTTCTTTCTGCCCTTTTAGACTCATGCTTAAAACACTTAGCAAGTCTCCTAATATGTTCTCCAATAACAAACATCAAGTTACCTGATTTATCCATTTGATTAGAAAATTCTTGAATAACTTCCATTATATCTATCTTTCTTCTTTTATTTTCAGTGTTTGAT